CACCCCTCCCCGCCCCCGGGGGCTGACGCCGGCGTCCGCTGACCCCTCCGATGAAAACGGAGATACACGCCGTGCCACTTACGTCACTGCACTGTTTATTTAATGAATGCAACAGCGCCGCTCTCGTCACGCGTTCGCTGAACACCATCAGAACAGCCCATCTCGGCGCCGGTGCGACAAGGTACTTGCAGGCATGGCACACCTGCCTGGAGGGCTACCGTACACAGCCACAGGTCCGCACCCGCACATCTGTGCGCACATGCGCGCACATCTGTACACAGACACAGAACTCAAAGCAGGAGTAATAAACCCTGAATTAACACGGGTTGTCCAGCAAAGTTCATACGATTAATTCCAATCATGGCGAGTGAAAGATTCAGAGAAAAAAAAAAAAAAAGAAAAAAAAGAGTTGTTACTACATCATCTGAAAACGAGCATTTGATTTAACCAGTTCCAAATTAGTCTATGACAAACCACCCTACGAAAAGAGTAACCGCAATTCAAAAGATCATGCATCAACGCCACAGCTATCAGACCGGACCTAGTAATATATACACCGCACTCGGTGGAACGGAGTGTCTTTCATCTCTTCCCTGTGATCCCTGGCATAGTCCCAAAGATGATAATCGAGTAAAACCGCATTGATCTTTTCACGCATGTCTTGACCCTTCTTCTCGTAGAGCTCCAGCAGGTGCTTACAAATCAACGCACAACACCAAATGGAACAGCCACGGATCTCCACCTCCTCTTTATCTCCGGACTGGAACATTGTTCCTGCAGGACACAAGAGACAGCAATCCAATTACGCTCAAGAGACAGAAGCCCCCAGGATGGCCTGAATTTGCCTTCCCCCCCCGCCAGCATTTATTCTGTTCTAGGACTGCAGTTTTCATGACTTACACTACAACTGCCAACCATGTGGCTACACATTTTCTAATGATTGCTTTAATTTTACCATATGCGCTTGTAAGTTTCCCTCCCATTCAGTTAAAACAAAACCCTGTATTCTAAGAGTGCAGTTCAAGAGAAGAACGGGTGTTTGGGTTATACTGCACATTACACAACTATTTCTTTGCTAGCGGAGGGAAAAAGGATAGTCAAACATAATTCCGAGACGGTGTATTTCCTGCCAGGGTAACTCAAAGATTTAAAAATTAAAAAACACAAAACAAGAAACACCAAACCCAAAAACTATATATATATGAAAATAGAAAGAGACCCATTTGTTTGAATGACGTCGATGGGAATGTCCTTATTAAGATTCATGGAAAAGATAAATTGCCTACATGATCTATTTAATATATATATATATGCCTACATCTCTCTCTCTAAATATATATATATGGCCATTCTACTAAGATCCATGGACGACTGCATTCATCTGTTTATCTTGCTGTGTAATTTTAAAATAGCATAATAGCAGTCCTACCTCTAAATACAGTCATTTTAGAGTGGAAGAGGGACTGGTTTATGTTTTTATTCACTGAAGTTCATATTTAGTAAGTACTGGAAGATGGAACCATGCTTAAAAATGAGACTCTAGTCTTACACAATTAGCTTCATTTAAAGGAATGTTTTTTTTTAATGGATGCTTATAATATTACCTTGCTTGCCACTAGCAGTTCAGTACAGACAAAGAGGAATCCCCATGCTTTTACATCATCTTTGAACTAATGAAGAAATCACTGCTTCTTTTATCTAAACGTCAAAAATCACCACTACACTCATGCTGAAGAGTTTTTGGCAACAGCAGCCCTTCAGAAACTCAGAGATCAACTGGCCTAGAGACTCTAATCCTTCCCTTATCAATGTTTAATCCAAGGAACAGTTAGGTCTTTATAAAAACATAACCGTAAGATCTCATTCAAGATCATTGTTAGAGAACAAGTTCCTTCCTATTACCTCATCACTACGTAAGAAGCCTCTGTTCCCTGGAGCAAAAAACCCCACAGATAACCCTTACATGGACAAAACATTACATTTTAAAAGCAGCTTCAGTCTACAACGTCAAGAGGTACGATGACTTGATATTAGTAAGGGAGGAACAAACCTTCACGTAGTTTCTTCATTAATTCTTCAGAATACTTCATTGCTTTTAAGTGAACAAGAACTTGAGGAATTCTGTAGTCTGCAAATATAGTCAGACTAGAAATGTCATCAAAAGAGCCATCTCCTTTGCCTTCTAATACACTCCATGTATCAGCCACAAGTATTTGTGCCCGTTTGTAGAACGACACCTTTTTTTTCTGATGAAAGAAATTTACGAATTATTTAAGTGCCTGAAACATCAATAAATACAGCAAATGACATGTACAGAGAGAGACATAAACTATCATTTGCTTAAGCAAACATTAGTTAACTAAAACACCTTAAAATCTAAACAATATCGAACCGCAAACAAGCATCATATGGAATGCTCATAAATAAATGGAAATAAAAGAAAAACATTGTAGAAGTCACTGCAGTGGATTAAAAATTGCTTAGATTCCGCTTGGATCTCCGAACACATTAATGTTGGTTTACTTCCACTTGGCAAACGCTGCAGCTGGAGTCCAGCAAACTAATTCTTTCAGAAACCCTAGAGTTCATCCAACATTTTGTTTCGAGAAGTGTAAAAGGCACATACCAGATTAGACAATTAAGACATTTCATTAACCAATTTATCCATAATGTTAAGGAAATAAAATTCTAGTGAAAATTTTCATGAATGCTCCTGTGTCATGTGGTGTATCTTGCTAGTTAAAGAGGAGAGATGAAATTTAACTCCAGCAGAAGGTCTATTCACAAATACAAGATTTTCTTAGATACTACGCATGGTTCTATTTTTGTCATAAACATTTTTGCTGGTGCTAATCCTGCAAAGTTTTGCATGCTTTTGTGACTACTCATAAGGGGAAAAACTAAAGATATGCTACAGTCTGTATGCTGTTGAGGTTTTCACTCTATGATGAGCACAATATGTATATGTAAATCCGCATCTTTAAGAAAAAAGGTATTAGTGGGCTATGGTTTTTTCCTCCCTTTATAGCTAGACAAGGTTTTTGACTTTTGACAACATGTACTAAACAACAACATGTAAGTGGAATGGTTAATCTGAAATACAAGTCAGTGGGGATTCGATTTATTTCCAGTTTTGCTCTGCCACCCTTCATATCACCACAATTTACAAATGGCATTTTTTAAGCTAATTTAATTTTACTTTCTTACCAAGATGCTACTATTCCTGAGAGCAAAGCATATTTTTTGTCATTAAATGCTATTCTCCAAAAAACACTGAGAACAAGATGTCCAACTACATTTCACAGAATAACTTCTGCAAACACCCCAAAAACTCCTTCTTTCCCTGTGCTTCATTCTATACTTGACATAGATGCACAAACTTACTGCTAGAGAACATACAGGATTTTGTATGTTAAATCATAAAACGCGACTTGAAACATCACAACAGGAAGTAAATAATTAATAGACCAAATCCCATCATAGCTCCTAGTGCCCCAAAGCTAACAGAAACTAAGGACATCACTCTTCTATAGCATTAAGATTTTTCCAGTATAGTAAAGAACCGATTGTCTCCAGCACCACACCATTTTGCAAGAGCAGAGGAAGTGAGAATTAAAATGGAACTTTTCATTTCATGCTGCAATTTAATTTGGAAGAAAAACACTGTCGGGGACTTGTTATTGAGCAGATGAATTTATAATTTCATTGTTTCAATTATTGTTAATTTTTATGCTGCACAGAGCTTCTGAAGTTTATGTAAAATTCTCAGTATGAAAAAGACTATTAAGCATTTCTAGTAAATTTTCCCCACGCTTCTTTTCAACAGAAAGCAAGGAAAGCATTAGGCAGATGATATTATGTCTCAAAAACAGTATCATTTGTCCAAAAATTGAACATTTTACCAGATGGCAACACAACCATGCTTCTTTTTTTTTCCTGCAACACCCTCACTTTCCAGGAAAAGCTACCACATATAGGGACAGTTGTGTCTCCTCACCACTACAATGAGCCATTATCAAGAGACATAACTAATTATGACCTACTGATATTAAAAGAAAGACGGTGCATTGTGTTGGCAAAGAGCAAAATGTGATAGCACAGCTAGTAAAAAAAGCAAGAAATAGGAGGATCATGAGAATTTTACAACCTTGGTCCCAGGTGATGGGAAATAAAAGATAAATACATGCAACGCCAATGACTGGAAGCTCGGAAAGGACTCCACTGTGCCTATGGCAGGACATGAAAAACCTGATACACGAGTATAACATAGTCTAATATTTAAACTTTTTTCAGGATTCAAATTCAGCACGGCATCTAAATATGAACTATCTACCCAAGGACAAAAAGGTTGTGGGGATTTTGTTTTGCAATTCACTTTTCAGAAGCAAAAGAACATTGGCAACTTCTATAATTACACTCAGTAACGTGTAATTATGAAAAAAATATTTTACGTATGTGTTTAGAAAAACATACAGCCAAAGAATTGTGTTAATTTTAGAAGTTCCCCTAGAAGGTCAGAACGTAGGAGAGCTGTAGTAGTCTGTAATAGTATGATTCTACTGTAGAATTTATTTTATAATCATATATATTTCTATTATGGAGAGCTACTGAAAAACACTGGTTTGCTACTGGATATCTCACCATCTTTTCAGTTCCCGCCTAATCCTTTATTGAAGGCAAAGTCTTACCTGTGAGAGCTCAACCTGCTGCGATAGAAATGGTGTTGATATTGTGATCCATGTCACCTTGCATTACGTGCTAACACTGATTTTTTTTTTTTTTTTAATTAAAAACAAGTAGGGTGTAAACTTGGTCTACATTATTTCACCCACCTTCAAAATACACATCCTGCTTAGTGAAAGCAGAAAAACAACTTCCATATTCATGCAACAGGCTTTACTACTATGTCAGTGCTTACGGTCTGGGATCATTTTTGGAACATCTTTTCATTCTGTAGTCTGCTGCTGCTTTTAGGGAGGCTTGCTTTATAAAGCACTCAGCATCATCTCATGAAAGACATTACGTCAATGAATACAGTCACTATAAAGATAAGAAAATACTCTATTTATCACTTTACTTGGAAAATATTCCCTTTTTGATCACAAAAATCATTAAAAAATTATATGTAAAAAATCCCAATAAATTAAACAAGTAGCTTCCAAGATTAGTTAGAAAGAACCTCTGATTTTTCATGTAAACATATATTACTTCATAGCAGGAGACAAAGGAAAATAAAATCATGCCACCTACTGAAGAGCAGATTTAAGTGATAAATGCAATAGGTTCAAAGCTCCAGTGAGTGGTGTTCCAGGGAGTTACCTTGAAAAGACTGCACAGACCATCAGTACAGGCTGCACTGTCTTTTGGACAGTGACTTTTGAATAAAGTCTTTTGGACACAACGATGTAACAGCTGACTACTACTGCAGATGGAACTGAGCACAGGAGCAGCTACATATGTCACTGATAGCAAATAAGGATCATGCCTGTATAGGCAAAACTAGAAACACAGGAAATACCAGATAGTCTCTGTTTACTTCCCATCAGTTTCTTTCAGGAAAATGGCTCCGAAGAGCTTCAGTATACTGTCAACCCTGCCAAACATATGGATTAATTCTGGCCTGTACTCATTTGTGCAATGCCTGTTGAATCAACAACAGCTGTAGTGTGGAATCCCAGTAGTTGTACATTTCCACAATTCTACCAGAGTTTTGTTTCCTTCATTAGCTGCAGAGATCCTAGGGCGGCGGGGGCGGGCGACTTGGTAGCAATTCAAGAAAAAGAAGGGAAAAAAGATTCTGATTTTTCAGGCAGAAATTATCTCAAATATTACACATTTGTAAGGAGTACAAAGGAGTCATGATCTAATTGGGAGTTTGGAGCGTATCAAAATAAATTACAACAAAGTGATGAAGACAGAGACAGCATATGAAAAAAATGTCTCTCCTCTGGGGAAAAGGTGACCCTTGCCATTAGAAATACATTCCTGGCTAGTTAAGGACTTAAGACAATCAAGATTCTTTTACTGCTAATAAATTGTGTGATTTTGTTTTCAGAGGTTAAGACTGATAGAGACAGGAAATCTCAATAATTTTACCCCAGCTTAACAAAAAAAGTACACTGTGGTCCAAGAGTATTATTTAAAAAACCTTCTTCCCTACCTGTATGTCTCACAGCAGTTTACATAATTAAGGTCAACTGCTTTGAAGTCTGTTTTTCCTTTCATTATACAGACCTATATCTTTACTGATTTGAGGCAAAAATATTAAAATAATAGTAAATTTTCCTTATTTCCCTTGAATTTTACTTTGAATACACTGAGTTCCACAGAAGCGTTTCCGTTCACCACTTCCTGGACTGAAAGCCCCAACAATTCACAAATATTAGACCAATTCTGAACTGACTGTCCTCTCAGAAAAATTTACATAGACAACCCAAGAGCTACCTTTTAAAGTCACAATCAGTAAGGAGTAAATTCTTATCATAAGAAATTCAATGTAAGAACTAGCTTACCTCAAAGACAGCTTCATCTCGGTAAGAAGGAAAATTTTCCAGTACTAGACGTAGTAGTTTCTGAGCACTTTTCTCACTCATTTTAACACAGGTGAGGAAAGAGCCTCCAAACTTCTCTAACAGAACTGTTCCGCTTTCGTTCAGCACCTGATGTCTTTCTTCAATCAAAGGTATGGGCACTTCTGTGTCAGAGCGAAATACGTGCCTGACTTGGTCAAGTGTCATGGTGGCAAAATACGATGCACTGGTAACAGGTATTCCTTCAGAAAAGTAAAAAATAAGATGTTTAGGCTATCATAACATATCCTAAGACCTAATGCAGTGGCCTGCTACAGATGAGAGCATTTATATGGCAAGATCTAAAGAGTCTATCAACTCTTAAAATCAACTGAGTGTTCAGTGACAATCGCAGTCAGATAACTGCTTAAAACTAAATTTGTGTTTGCACACAGTGCTTCCTTCTACAGATAACAATTTCCAACATGCAACCGTGGAACTTTCTTACTTTCTAGTATGTAATTTTTCCCAACTGCTTAGTCTTCATCTTTGAGTGTGGTGTTTACATAGCACGCTGGCAAATATAGTTAGTATAGTCAGCATAGCCCTGTTTTCCCTTAGCTCCTAATCACGTTGTGCATTTACAAAACGTATCTTAACACAAACCTTCCCTTAACTTACAAACAAATATGCAGGAAATTAATTAAAACTTCCATCTATACCTACAGATTTTTTTCTGACAGCAACAAGAGCGAGCGCTGAAATACTGGTTTTGGAGGCATACGGGTTTTCAAACTTACTGGAGCCACTTTGGTACTAGATTAGTCCAGAGGATTCTCAGTGTAAGGCTCTTATTCTCATTTGTCACGGAAATACGCAACTTATCTTAGGAATACACGTGAAATAACAGGAGCCACAAACAGCTGACTACCGACAGTCCTTAAAGTCTTTTTAATGGAAAAGAGATAACCCAATTAGAGCCACAAGTTACATATTTGCTGTACAAGGTACTGTTAAAGCGCTCCCAGCTTCCTCCCCCAGGCTCTACGGGACGGCCTGCACATACAGATTTATCGAAACAGCAAGCAACAGTTTGCAGACACGGTTCCCGTTTCTGAGGTAGCGCCTGTATTTTATACTCATCGCTCGGTTTACGAACACCGCCCCTCCCCCCGGCTGCTCAGCGGGTGCCCGCAGGCCGCCCTGCGAG